AAAAAAAAAAAAAAAGAATTGTTAGGGTAATAGATTGAAGGAGGGGAGGAAACAAGAACTAATCAAAATGATTCTTTAAGATAATCTGCTGAAATTGGAAGCCGAGTTAGGGATCTTGAGGAGAGAGGTAAATGTTTGAGATAGGCCTGTGGGGAGAACAGCTAGAGCTGTGAATCTGCCCCTTGACAGCTGCATCTACTTACCTCTACCCTGTGCTAAACCCCGAGCTATGTGTTTTCATACATTCTCTTATTTAACTGGCACAGCAATTCTATGAGATCAGTATTTGTATCAATAACCTCCTTTTTTTTTTATTGTGATTTGGGTGAAAGTTTACAGAGCAAATTCACTTTCCCTACAGCAGTTTACATACATGTTGTCTGATGACATTGACAATTTATCCCAATGCAACACTTCCCCTCCCACTTCCTCCTGATAGTTACCTCTTCCTTGTGCCCATCCCTCCATGCACTTCTGCTCCCTGAACTGTTGCCCTGTGCATAAACAGCCCTTCTTTCTGCCATGATTGTTCTCTCCAAGGGATGTATCTACCTCAGGGGCATGTTCAACTCTTACGCCTGTCTTTTATTTGGCTGGAAGCCACAGGTGTGAGGTCAATTCCAGACTTGAAGGCCAGCTAGGGACCATAGTCTCAGTGGTGCCACCAGGCTCTATCAGACCAGCAAACCTGGTCTCCCTTTTCTCTTTTTTCCCCAAATGATTTTGAGTATTGTTCCACATTGTTCTCCCTCTCTATCCAGGATCTCCTACATAGATCCCCCTCTGAGTGATTGACGGTGGTAGCCAGGCACCATCTAGTTCTTCTGGTCTCATAGTCGTATAGGCTGAGGATCGCATGGTGTACCAGTTGTGAGGACTAATTGTTTCCATGAATCTTTGGTTCAATAACCTCCTTTGGAGATGAGAATTATGTAAACTTACCTAAGATAGCATAGTAAGACAGTGACAGAGCCACTGTATGGCCCTAAACCTATGCTGCCCAGAACATGAAAGAACAGACAGTGAGTGGTGGAAACCAAGCTGAGGCTGTACTTACCTTTGGCAGGCTTTAACTGACATGTAGAGAACTTCATACACCCCAACCAGGCTAATACACGTCTTTAAAGGAGGATTCTAAATGCCAATGCTAAGTTCTTAATTAAAGACTTTCTTATAAAGCCTTATCTAATGGTTAGAGTTAATTTGATCCAAATATGTTGTTGGATGAAAGTTTTGGTTACCAGGTGCCACTCTAACAGGAATAGACCACAAATGGGATGGCTTGAACAAACAGGAGTTTACTGTCTTACAGTTCGGGAGGCTAGAAGTCCGAATTCAAAGTGCCAGGTTCCAGGGGCTGAGTGAAAGTCCCTCAGCCTTGGGCTTCAGTTCTGCCTCTTGCTTCCAGCCCATTGAAGCTAGAGGCTTTTCTTCACTCGGGCAGCTGCTGGCTGCTGAGGCTGACAAGCCCAAGGTTCACAAGTAACAAGGCACAGTTCCAATGTTACCAAACCACACAGCAAGCCATTAATTCAAGTCCATTGAAAGTCCCAAGGGCGACAGAGCATGGCAGGCTGCTGAACAACAACACAGGTACATGCAGCATTCAAGCATGCCATATGCTAGAGACACCAGTTCCAAGACTTCTCCTTATATACAGGAAGCAGACCACATTCCTAAGGCAGCTACTCATGGTTGATTCCACCATGGAATTAATTACCAGTCTCACCATGGGGAATAACTACATCCAGCGGCCCAGCCATTCAGCCAGGCCCAGCCATGTTGACACACAAACGTAACACAATGAAAGATAAGAATTGCTCCCTTAATACCAGGCAACATAGATTTTTCATATTAAATTTTACTTTTTTTATACTAAAATTTCATTGCCACGGGGCCTCTCACAAACTGCTAATTAATAATAGGTAAACTCTAGCTTTTAAGAATTTCTTGTTAAATACTTTGGCTTGACTTTTACCTTGGCATCATCACCTTGTTCATTTATTAGTTAAAGAATCTTAATGAGTGTTAACTCACTTGAATAAATTTTCTTTTTTAAACTAGGTAGATTATGAAAATCATGCACTTTATAAACATGGAAAGACAGGTCGAAAACAGTCTCCTGTGCGAATCTTCACTAACATTCCACCCAGTAAAATAATCCTTCCTACCGAGGAAGGATACAGGTAAGAGCACAGGGGACTTTGATGTATATGAATAACTCAAAATAGAGATACAAAATGGAACATGAACAGAAGTTATGAGAGAAGGATTTAACCAGTGTCACTGATGAACTTGTCAAGAAGTTGTTGAATGAGAACCTAAACTACTGTGTAAACCTTCACCGAAAACACAGTGAAATATCATTTTCTAAAAAAAAGAAAAATAAAGATACTTTTTTGTTGTTGTTTAGCATGCAAAATCAATTGCTTTGGAGTCAATTCTGACTCATGGTGACTCCATGTATGTCAGAGTAGAACTGTACACCATATAAAAGTAAAAACTTCTAATGTTGACTCATATATATATTTCTTCTTAATTTTAAATTTGGTCCATGATTTCATATTGAATTTATTTTCGGGCACACTCAATTTTTGTAACAGGTGTCTTATAACTTTCATTTACTCTGTTAATCTCAATAAATACATGTACCTGATTTCTTTATGTTTATTGCTTTCTTCTAGATTTTGCTCCCTGTGTCAACGATATGTTTCTTTAGAGAATCAACACTGTGAGCACTGTGATTCTTGCACATCCAAGGTATTGTTTTCTGATAGAAGACAGCTCTGTTCGTTTTAGTTTATGAATTCGATCACATTTGTGTAATGTTATTTTGTTAATATAGTTTGCATCAATATGGGTGTTCATTCATTAGTTGTACTTTAATGCTATATTTTAAGTATGATTATGGAGGTCAATAGGCTTTTAAAAATACTTAATTGCTTCATCAGCAGCACTTATTTGGATTCGTTTTCATATGGTACTCTGTGACTGCTAAAATTGTAAATGTTTCAAGTAAGACACAAAATGAGTGCTGCATTTATATGTATGTGTGTATATATAAAATTTCTACATACTTATACATTTCACATAAGGCATTAAACTACTTGATACCATCACTGTTCCAATGAGATAATAGTGACATGTGTTATACACTTTTATGGGCCAGGCCCTTTCCTGAAAGCTTTCCATGGATTAACTCATTTAGTCCTTTATTGGCTGAGCACAGTAACTGTACCTGTAAAGTGGATACAGTTATTCCCTGCTTCTTACAGATGAGGTCAGGCTGTAAGGGATATCAAACAAGCAGAGTTCTTGTTGAGTGGATTCCGACTCATGTCCATCCCGTGTGTGCAGAGTAGCACTGTGTTCCATAGGGTTTTCAGGGCTGGGACCTTCTAGAAGCAGATTGCCAGGCCTTTCTTCTGAGGCATCCGTGGGTGGGTTTGAACCTCCAGCCATCCAGTTAGTAGTCAAGCAAGTAACAATTTTTGCCACCCAGGGAGTCTAGACAATGGACATACTTCTGTTTACTGTTTAGGAAGATAGGGTGATCCTTAAGGTGCTTTGTTTATTTTTAACTAAATGTGGTCAGAAAAGACGTGTGAAGCTTAGTTTGGTTGATCAGTACAAATTATTCCCGAAAGGAAAGGCTGTATTTTTAACTACTAAAAGGGATGCTTCTTATAATTGTAGAATTTTATTACTGGTTATCCTTGTTTTTAACTGTGAAGCACATCTGGTGACATATTCTTTCAATTAGTTTAGAAATTCTCTGTACTCTTCATTTCTCAAAATTATGCCTATATCATGTGAGGGAGCTCTGGTAGCATAGTGCCTAAGGCACTTGACTGCTAACCAGAAGGCTGGCGGTTCAAACCCACCAGCCACTCCTGGGAAGGAACATGGGGCAGTCTACTTCCATAGTGATCCTGCCTCAGAAACCCAAGGAGGGGTCGCTGTGAGTCAGATCTGACTTGACAGCACATAACAACAACAACAACATAGCATGTGAATTTCAAAATGCAGAACACAAAGCTTTAGTCTTTAGGGATGCATACATGGGCTCTAAAAAGGAACAAAAGCAATGATTGCCACAGAAACCAGAACAGATGTCACTCACTGGGGAAGCAGGGATGCTGTGATTGGGAAGGGGCACATGAGGAAGTTCCTCAGGGGATGGTGAGTGTCTGTTTCTTGACCTGGTGGGCTTCATCAAGGTTGAGTTTATAACACAGGTAGTCCCTGACTTACGGTGTATTCCGGTTACGGGAACCGCACTTACACTGCCCCGTTTCTTGTGTGCTTCTTATTGTTAGTAATCATTCAGTGATGCCACACGTCACTTGCTGATTGATGCTGTTCTCAGATGTTCAGTGTTACAATTTACTGTTACTAACACTGTCTTGGAGAAGGCTATGGCAATAATAAAACTAGAAAAATGAGGTACTCAGCATACGTCAGAATTGACTTATAATGGAGTCTTTGGAACAGAACCCCCATCGTAAGTCGAGTAAGACCTGTACTTATTAAGCTGAACATTCATGTTTTCTGCACTTTTCAAGATATGTTTTATTTCATGGTTTGGTTTTGTTTATTTTTGAATTATCCAAACAATAACTGATAATCTCTATCTAAATTACAAAAAGCTCCCAAATTGGAATTTTATTAAGGATTGTACAATATGGACTCACGAAATTATGAATCGCTCTTTTTAAATGTTTATTGAGTTCTTTTTGGTGCAGATTGATGTGCTTTACCTGCCATGGACTTGAAGGTCCCTGAAATAGACCTCCCAGTCTTACAGTTAATGAAACTGAGATCCAGCACGGAGGCACAGGAGTTGAGCAGAGAAATGCATCAATTAAATCAAAGTATTTAATTGTGAAGCCTAGGAAAGTGAGAAATAAGGAATGAATAATTTACACAGATTTTAATGAGACATTTTAATTTTTAATTGTGAGACCTGATTTTTAATGACAAATTAAACATAATTTAAAAATTGTTTTTGTAGGATGGCAGGAAATGGAACCATTGCTTTCTCTGCAAAAAGTGTGTAAAGCCTTGTAAGTATCGAGGCTGCTGTGAGGGTCTTTAAAACATTTTAGAGCTTTGCTTCATCTAAATAGGATTTTTCATTAATTTTATTTATGAAAGAATAACTAATGTAGAGACTTGCATTAATTTACTTGCTTTTTAATTTCTATTTTCAAAATATACATTCTCTTTCATAGGGGAGGTGGATCTGCTGACCTGTTTCAGTGCAGCAGTTGCTATGACTTACCTTAACAGGGAAAGTGAAGTATTATAATGAAATGTGCAAAGACCTGGGGTTAGAAAACCAAAAGGGAGGAACACGCTTGGCATTTCTCAAGCTGAAAGAGCTGAAGAAAAAAATTCAAGCCTTGAGTTGCAATATTGAAGGGTTATATGGGCAAAATCCTTCAGTATTGCAACCCGAGGCTTGAATTTTTTCTTTATTTCTTTCAGCTTGAGAAAATGCTAAGTGTGTTCTTCTCTTTTGATTTTCTAACTAAATGAAGGATTCTGTGGGCAAAATAAAGGTGCTCTGGTGGTGCATTTGGCTGCTAACCAAACTGTTAGCAGTTTGAACCCACCAGCTGCTCCATGTGAGAAAGATGAAGCATTCTGCTTCTGTAAAGATCTATAGCCTTGGAAACCTTATGAGGCAGTTCTGCTCTGTCCTATAGAGTCACTATACATTGGAATAGACTCAGTGGCAGTGGTTTGGTTTTGATTTATGGGCAAAATATTTAACAATGCATGAAGTATCAAAAGCAGATGGAAGGAATACACAAAGACACTGTATCAAAAAGAATTAGTCGATGTTCAGTCATTTCAGGAGGTAGTATATAATCAAACGATGGTATTGAGGGAGGAAGTCTATGTTGCACTGAAGGCATTGGAAAAAAAAAAATAGGCTCCAGGAATTGAGGGAGTGTCAACTGAGATGTTTCAACAAATGGAGACAATGCTGGAATGCCCACTCATTTATGCCTGGCCAGTCGCCTGGAAGAGATCCATATTTGTGCCTGTTCCAAAGAAAGATGATCCAATAGAATGAAGAAATTAATCAGACAGTATTGTTGATATCAAACACAAGTAGAATTTTGCTGAAGATAATTCAAAAAAATTGCAGCAGTACATTGACAGTGAACTGCCAGAAATCCAATCTGAATTCAAAAGAAGGTGGAACGAGGGATACTACTGCTGATGTTAGATGAGCTTGACTACAAGCAGAGTGTTTTGGTTCTGGAGTGCCACTCTAACAGGAAACAACACAAATGAGAGGTCTTTAACAAACAGGGATATAGTCTCTTATCATTTAGGAGGCTTCAGCTCTGCCTCTTGCTCCTGGCCCACTGAAGCTGGAGGCCTCTTTTTATTCAGACAGTTCTTGGCTGCTGAGGCTGACAAACCCAAAGTCAGCAAATAAAATGGCACAGTCCCAAAATTATCAAACAACACAGCAGGCCACTGGTTCAAGTCAGGAGTCAGGAACAATCCCAAGCTTGGCAGACAACATGGCAGGCCACTGAGATGAAGACCTGACTATGTACAGGGTCTGAGTGTGCCACAAAGCTGTAGGGACCTTGCTCAAAGCTGCTTCTTACATACTTGAAGCAGACCACATCCCTCAGGCACTACTCGGCTGCTCCAGTAGATTCCACCATGGAGCTGATTACCAGTCTCATCATGGGAAAAAACAACATCCAGCTGTCCAGCCATGCAACACCAGGCCCAGCCAAGTTGACACACAAGTACCACACACAGAAAAACGTTTACCTATGTTTTATTGACTATGCAAAAGCATTTGTGTGGACCATAACAAATTATGGATAACATGGAGAAGAATGGGAATTCCAGAACACTTAATTGTACACCTGCTCATGTAGTGCCTGTACATAGACTAAGAGGCTGTCATTCAAACAGAATAGGGGGATACTACTTCATCTCACCTACTATGGTCATGTTGTCAGAAGGGACCATTCCTTGGAGAAGGATATCATGCTTGGTAAGGGGGAGGGTCAGCCAAAAAGGGGAAGACCCTCAAGATGGATTGACACAGTTGCTGCAATGATGGGCTCAAGTATAATAGGGGTTGTGGGGATGGCACAAGACTGGACAGTATTTTGTTCTGTTGTACACAGGGTGGCTATGAGTTGGAGCTGACTTGATGGCATCTAACAACAATATCAGGAAAAGTGTGTGTCAGGGTTTTATCCTTTAACCACACGTATTCAATCCATATGCTGAGCAGATAATCCGAGAAGCTGAACTATATGAAGGAGAACACAGACTTGGGATTGGAGGGACACTCAATAGCCTATGATATATAGATGATTCAACCTCGCTTGCTGAAAGTGAAGGGAACTTTAAGCACGTACTAATGAAGATCAAAGCCTATAGCCTTCAGTATGGATTTACACCTCAACATAAAAAAAACAAAAGTCCTCACAACTGGACCAAGGAGCAACATCATCATGATAAACAGAAAATAAGGATATTGTGAGATATTTCATTTTACTTGAATGCACAATCAATGCCTATGGCAGCAGCAGTCAAAAACTTAAATGACATATTATACTGAGCACATCTGCTGAAAAAAAAAAACCTGTTTAAAGTGTTAAAAAAAAGCAAAGATGTCACTTTAAGGACAAGGTGTACCTGATCCAAGCCATGGTATTTTCAATCACGTCACTGCATATGAAAGCTGGACAATGAATATGGAAGACTGGAGAAAAAGTGATGCCTTTGAATTATGGTGTTGATGAAGAATATTGGATATACCATGAACTGCCAAAAGATTGAACAAATCTGTCGTGAAAGAAGTACAACCAGAATGCTCCTTAGAAGCAAGGATGGCAGAAACTTTGACTCTTGGACTTTGGACATGTTATCAGGATGGACCAGTCACTGGAGAAATATCATTCATGGGAAAATAGAGAGTTAGTGGAAAAGAAGACTCTCAACAAGACGGCTTGTCATGGTGGCTGCAGCAATGGGCTCAAACATAGCAACAACTGTGAGGATGGCAGAGGACAGGCAGAGTTTTGCTCTGCTGTACATAGGGTCATTATGACTCAGTGGTACCTAACAGCCACACACGTGTCACTCAGCTAGCCCCCATTGTGTTAGTGACTGATAGCTCATTGGAGAAGGTCTGAATTTATTGCCCTGTAACAGGAAGAAGTTAGCTGGCTTATGTGGGATTCCTACCTCGTTACCTTGTTTTCTTTAGCCAGATTTAACCAAATATGCAAACTAATCACAATAATTGAAGTAAACACCATGTATATTTTCTTAAAAGTTGGTAAAATGAAGGGCAATATACAGTAAGGGGGTGATCAACACAATATCATAAAGGCAAAGGAACACAGTGAGAGGTTCACAAAGGTAATAAATAGTGTTACCTACACAATCCCGCAATATCAGCAATAACAGCAGTAACCTGTGGGTGGATACACAGGCAGACAGGCAAGCTGCACGGGAATGAGTAGGTGAATGGAACTACACCCATGACCATACATAGGTTTGGCAGAGGCTATTTCTACATACGTATTTGTATGTGCTGTAAGTATATCTAAGTGTGTAGTAGAGCAAACGGGCAAAGTTATGAAAACTTCTTAGTGAGAACAGACCCCTTGAGGGAATGAGTCAGTGGGCTTATGGGCTTAGGATCAGTCTTGAGGGAAAGACAGTGTTCTACATCCTACTTTGCAGACTAGTAACTGGGATCTTAAAAAGCTTGTACGTGACCATCTAAAAGTGCAACTGTTGGTCTCTTTCCATCCAAAGCAAAGCAGAGTGCAGAAAATCAAAGATGCATGGAAATAGTCCAAAGAACTAATGGACAAGCCTCCATGACTCTGACACCAGAAGAACTAGGTGGTGCCCGGCAACCACTCCCCACCGTTCTGATTGGGATCACAATAGATGGTCCTGGATAGAGTAGGAGAAAAATGTGGAACAAAACTCAAAATCATAAAAATAAACTGTGCTTTCTTGTCTGATAAAGACTGGTGGAGCCCTGAGACTGTGGCTTTTAGTCACCCTTCAAGCTTGGAACTGAACTCACCCCTGTGGCTCAGCTTTTCAGGCAAACGATAGACAGGCCTTTGGGGTGAAGAGTAACACCAGGGAGGTTGGCACTTCTTAGAACAATCAACCATTGGAGAACAAAAGGACAGCATTTGTCCAGGGTTAAAGCTCAAAAGGCAGGAAGGAATAGGAAAAAAGGACACATGAAAATGATAAACACAGAGAGGTACTGGAGAGTGCTGTTACATTAAGGGGATTGCAGTCCACGTCATGAAATAAAATGTGTATGAATTTTTGAATGGAAAACCAATTTACTTTGTACACTTTCACTCAATTCACAATAAAAAAAGTTTTTTTTAAAGTTAATAAAATGAAAAATTACAGTAAATGAACTTGTTGTAAACCTTATTATCCTACAGCCTGGATCCACTGTCATGTCTGTAATCACTGTGCTGTCCCTGGTCATTCCTGCGATGGTCCTAAGGACGGCTGCTTCATTTGTGGTGAATTAGATCACAAACGTGCTACCTGCCCGAACATCTCATCTAAGAGAGCTAACAAGTTAGTTGAATTCTTTTACTTACTAGAAACCATTTTCCTTCCATGACTCAAACAGAGTGAACCGTTGAAGCATGCAGTAGTCAGAGGATTCAGATGTGCTAACTTAATTGTAGGAGCTCTGGTAGCATAGTGCCTAAGGCATTTGACTGCTAACCAGAAGGCTGGTGGTTCAAACCCACCACCAGCCACTCCTCAGAAGGAAGGTTGGGCAATCTACTTCCATAGTGATACTGCCTTGGAAACCCAAGGAGGGGTTGCTATGAGTCGAATCCGACTCGATGGCAAACAACAACAACTTAATTGTTGCATTCACTGTTATCGTTGAAAAGACACTAAGAAGACATTTAAAGACACAATCTCTATTAGTAATCATTGACTCAAAAATTATGTATTATTTGCATAGATGGAGGAAGCAGGATAGGAATACGAGTCAAAACTTGTTTCAAGAAGCTTACAGTTTGGCAGGATAAAACATGAAAAATAACCAAAATATAAGGCAGGAAGTGATGAATTTTACATCTCTCGTGTTCAGTCATGGTTGCATAGAGGAAGAGGTTATGTTTCGTTTTGGGGTAAGAGTTCAGGCTTTGTTGAAGTACTCTTTAAGCCAGGCTTCAGGGACAGATCACATTTTGACTCGTGGTGTGGTAGGAGGGAAGGCTGAAGAGGGCATTTCGTATGGAATGTAACATGTAATTTACATAAACCAAAAAACCAAACTCACTGCCATGGAGTTGGATCCGACTCACAGCGACCCCTCCTAGGGTTTCCGAGGCAGTATCACTACAAAAGTTGATTGCTCAATCTTCCTTCTGAGGAGTGGCTGGTGGGTTTGAACCGACAACCTTCTGGTTAGCAGTCAAGTGCCTTAGGCACTGTGCCACCAGAGCTCCTGTAATTTACATAGTAGACCAAAAAACCAAACTCAATTCCAACCAGTTGATTCCAACTTGTAGCGACCCCCATTGAGTTTCCAAGGATGTAAATCTTTATGGAAGCAGAGTGCCTCATTTTTCTTCTGTGGAACAGCTGGTGGGTTTGAACCACTGACCTTTTGGTTAGCAGACCAAATGCCTTAACTATACCACCAGAGCTGCTTTACATAGTAGAGAAATTATAAAATGAAGTTATTTCTTTAAAGTATGTCAAAGTAAAGGAAAATATTTAGAAGTTTTATTATCATTTTTTTCTACAATTATTTTCAATACTTCCTCTAGTATTTGGTATTAATTATAAATAAGTCAGAGGAACGTTCTACCAGTGACAATGGCATTTTTAGGAAAACCATTGCTATTTCTGCAGGGCTAATTTGAATGGTTATAATTATTTATTTTAAATCTTTTAACTAAAGGTCTTATAGGGATTTATTCCTCCTGTTTTATTGATAAGAAAACTGAAACCTTTGCCAAGGGTCACAGTGCTGTTACTAGTGACCTTATCAGATTACCAGATACCCAGATTTGACGTTACAGTGAACCCTGGGCTCAAGATAAAAAGTGCTGAGCTGTCATGAGTTCTGAGGGAAAAATACCTGTTAGTCCTAGACACATATGGTGCATTACAAAAAACGAACTAAACTTACTGCCATCGAGTCAGATCCGACTCACAGAGACCCATCTTTGGGTTTCCGAGGCAGTATCACTATGGAAGTAGATTGCCTAACCTTCCTTCTGAGGAGTGGCTGGTGGGTTTGAACCGCCAGCCTTCTGGTAAGTAGGCACTATGCCACTAGAGCTCCCATATGGTACATTAGTTACTATTTTATGATTGTGTTAGAACTCTTTTCAATTTTTTTCTTTATTTATCAAATTTGTTCTATTTTAAATAATTATTTCCATTAAGTAACCCATAGTAGAAGTGGAACTTTAAGAAAATAATAAAAAAAACAAAGAGGCTGTCATGTAGGCTTTTAATACTTTAGAAAATTAACAGAGAGATAGTCAGGCTTGATATGCATGAACTTGTTTAGTTTATTGGAAGGTGGTCATGAAAACACACACAAGAAAGACGCCCCAACTGTCATTCATTGTTGTTGCTAGTGCTGTTGAGTTGGCTCTGATACATAGCGACTCTATGTACAACAGAATGAAACACTGCCCAGTACTGTGCCAGCCTCATAATTCTTACTATGTTTGAGCCCATCATCGCAGCTACTGTGCCAATCCATTTTGTTGAGGGTCTTCCCCTTTTTCACTGGCCCTCTACTTTACCAAGCATGATGTCCTTCTCCAAGGACTGGTCCCTCCTGACAACATGACCAAAGTACAAGAGGTGAAGTCTTGCCATCCTCACTTCTAAGGAGTATTCCTGCTATACTTCCTCCAAGACCGATTTGTTTGTTCTTCTGGCAGTCTGTAGTACAGTTAGTATTCTTCACTAACACCACAATTCAATTGCATCAGTTCTGCGTTCTTCCTTATTCCTTGTCCAGATCTCACATGTGTATGAGGTAATCAAAAATACCATGGCTTGAGTCAGGTGCACCTTAGTCTTCAAAGAGACATCTTTGCTCTTAAACACTTTAAAGAGGTCTTTTGCAACAGAATTGCCCAGTGCAATACATTGTTTGATTTCTTAACTCTGCTTCCATGAGCATTGATTGTGGATCCAAGTAAAATGAAATACTTGACAGCATCAATCTTTTCTCCATTTATTATGATGTTGGTTTTTGTCCAATTGTGAGAAATTTTGTTTTCTTTATGTAGAGGGAGGAGCTCTGGTGGCACAGAAGTTAAAGCATTCAGCTACTAACTAGAAGGTCAGTGGTTCAAACCCATCAACTACTCCATGGGAGAAAGATGAGGCAGTCTGGGTCCGTGAAGTTTTACAGTGTTGGAAACCTTATGGGATGGATCAGCTCTATCCTGTAGAGTTGCTATGAGTTGGAATCAATCGAAGGTTTTGGTCTTATGTTGATGAGTAATCCATACTGAAGACTGTAATCTCTGATCTTCATCACAGTAAGTACTTCAGGTCTTCTTCACTTCCATCAAGCAAAGTTGTGTTGTCCTCATATTGAGGATTATTAATGAGTCCTCCTCCAGTCTTGATGCTGTGTTCTTTTTCATATAGTCCAGCTTTTCGGTTTATTTGCTCAGCATACAGATTGAATAAGTATGGTAAAAGGATACTACCCTGATATACACCCTTCCTGATTTTAAACCATGTAGTATCCCCTTATTCTATTCAGATGATAGCCTCTTGGTCTATATAAGGGAGCTCTGGTGGCGTAGTGCCGAAGGCATTTGACTGCTAACCAGAAAGCTGGTGGTTCAAATTCACCAGCCACTCCTTGGAAGAAAGATTGAGCAATCTACTTCTGTAGAGATACCACCTCAGAAACCCAAGGAGGGGTCGCTGTGAGTCAAATTGACTCGATGGCAGTGAGTTTGGTTTGATTTTTTGGTTGATCTGTATACAGGTTCCTCATGAGCACAATGAAGTCTTCTGGAATTCCCATTCTTTGCAGTATGATCCATAATTTGTTAGGATCCACACAGTTGAATGCCTTTGCATAGTCAGTAAAACACAGGTAAACATCTTTTTGGTATTCTTTGCTTTCAGCCAAGATCCATCTGACATCAGCAATGATAACCCTTACGCCATGTCCTCTTCTGAATGTACCTTGCTTTTCTGGAAGTTCCCTGTCAATATACTGCTGCAAGTGTTTTTGAATTATCTTCAGCAAAATTTTACTTGTGTGTAATATTAATGACATTGTCCATAATTTCCTCATTCTTTTGGATCACCTTTCTTTGGATAGAGACACATATGGACCTTTTCCAGTCAGTTAGCCAGGTGGCTTTCTTCCACACTCTTGGAATAAATGAGTAAGCACTTCTGGTGCTACACCCATTTGTTAAAACATCTCAGTGGGTATTCCGTCAATTTCTGAAGCTTATTTTCACCCATTCTTTTCATGAAGCTTGATTCTTGATCATATGTTACCTCCTGAAATTGTTGAACCAGATCA